TTTGGGAGTCCATTCCCTATGGAGGGATACTCTCTCAGCCTAGATACATGGGGGAGGGCCTAGGTCCTACCCCACATGATGTGACAGATTTTGATTACCCCCATGGGAGGCCTCACCCTCCCTTAGGAGGGTGTGGGGATAAGGGAACAGGGATTGGTATGTAAAATAAGATTGTTTTTAATTTAAATAAAATTATTGTAAAAATAGATTATAATTGGTCAGTATTATAAACAAAGATGATAATAATAGTCTCTATGTATAATTCTATAATTAAAAACAAATTCCTTATATGGTTTTTCAAAAGTCAAAATCAGGACAAATGCTGGGCATTGGTGGTGCACGACTTTAATCCCAGCACTTGGGAGGCAAAGGCAGGCGGATCTCTGTGAGTTCTGTGAGTCTCCAGAGCAAGTGTCAGGATAGGCTCCAAAACTACACAGAGAAACCGTGTCTCGAAAAAAAACAAAAAACAAAAAACAGAAAAACAAAAAACAAAATCAGTACAAATTACTGAAATAATTTGCTTCTTCGTTATATTTATAAAAATATTAATAATAGCTATCATTAAAAATTATTGATAAGACTTCTAGGAAGTTCAATTCTGCCCAGTTCTCCTCAGTGCAGCACTCAAGGGTCCACCAAAGGGAAAAAGCAAACAAGATTGTTTCCAATAGGGGAAATACAAAACTTTTTAAGTGAAGTATTTTGAATCTCCAGTTTTGTTTACAATTGTTTTATTGCTTCAAGCCAACAAGTAAATGAACACATATTTTTTTAAAAAAACATAAGATTTAACTAATAGTTTCAATAATCTAGCAAACTTAATAAAACTTCAATATATATGGCTTTCTTGCAAGGGTTCTAATGCTCAAATTTGGGTCCTCATTCTTGCCCAGTGAGCACATTACTAACTGAGCCATCTCCCCATTCTCAACATACCACGTTTAAGTGGAAATCTCCCTTCCAATTTTTCAAAATTGTTAAATAAGGTAAATATAGTACAATGTGTCTTATTAACAATATGAGGAAAACTATTTTATAATTACAAAAATAAATCTCTGGATAAAAGACTATAAGTAGCTTACCTGTTTCAAAATCTATGATTTATATGACTAAGATTTTTTTAAAGATAGAATTAATTTTAAATAGTGTAAGGTTTTACCTGTAAGATTCTAGAAGATCCACAATTTCAGTTTGTCCAAAGTGCTTAGCCCAATCTAAAGCCATCCTGTAAAATTCAAATATATCAAACTGAGAAATAATTTGTAAATTTGCAATTACAAATTTTTAAAAATCACATAACTAGTCATCCAAAACTATTTATTTACTCATTAGAGATGTGCTAGTAATTATTATATAAAAGATTTTAAAATAGGGATAATCATAAGAATTTTAAAGGTATATGCAACTATATCATGACATACAAAGAATGGATACAATCTAAAATTACCAGCCATTTGATGCTTTACTGTGGACATTGGCTCCCATACTAATTAACTGCTCTACTTGGCTTGTAAAACCCCGTCCTGCAGCAACCATCAGAGCTGTTGCACTGGTCTCACTATGCCTATAATCAACTAAAAGAAGAAAAAGATGAAATGTTAAATGTCCAAATTTTAAAGACCTTCATTGTTTCAGTTAAGTAGCAGAACTAGCATAACTAACCTGGGACTTGTTCCTTCATTTTAAATGACAGCAATATTATATAATCTTTAACTATCCCATTCACAAAGAAATCCAAGATGTTCTTGCATAAACAAGGTAGAATAAAAACTATCTTTGGAGGGATAAGAAGAAATTATTTAAGGTTTACTTCTATAATTAAGAAAAAAACTACTGGGTTGCAAAAATCTTTAAATGATGATTTTTTTTAATCTGCATGTTGCCATGTTCACTTAGTAACAAAATATACAAAGAATTTAAAAATTAATTTTTCATCAATAACTAGTAATAAATGCTTTAGGACTTGCAGCAAAGTTCTTCAAACTTTTCTTCATATGACTTAAGACACTGTAATACTGAACTCAAAGAAATAAAAACTCAGGAAGAAAGATAAACACTACACACTTAGATGACCATTATCAAAATAATCTAGTAATCAACAGAGAAACCAAGGAAGACAGTCAAGAGTCATAGTTTATTTAGTATTTAAAATACTTTATGGATCTTTTAAAGCAGTACTTTTAAAGCAGATTTTAAATCTATAAACTTTCACATAAGACAAATAAATTATGCAGAATAAATACTGAAATAATGGAAAAAACTAGAAAACAGCATGAAAAATTATGTCTGTTTCAAAACAAAATACTACCTTCCCAGAATAATTTTTAGAAACAGGATGAACTTTAAAAATGTATGTCAATAGAGGCCAAATACATTTACGATGAATAAGAAATCCTAAAAGATCATTTTTATGAAGAGCTCTGTTGACTGGTAGATGTACAGGATTATGACTTAATAACCATACCCAAATATTAAACTAAATAATATTTAGGTTAATACACAATAGTTGACCCAGCCTCACCAAATTAATAAACTAAGAAATTAACATAAGGAACAGAAGGTTTTAAAAATTGTTTTTAAAACAGCAGGACAAATCTACCTATAAGATGAAATCCTTGAGGAACAAAAGGAATTTTTTACACTTAAAATAATTCAAAACAACAAATACAAAACAGAGGTAAATGTAACGAATTTCCATGTTTAAATCATGAACTAGAATTTTCAGAAACAATATGAATCAGCAAGACAGTGTAGTAGACAGAGTGATATACCAACAATAGGTTTGATTCATATATGTAAAAATAGTAATTTTAAAAAGAACAGACAATTTTAAGCTCAGAACCAGAGAACAGGCATTTACATTTATTTACTTATTTATTGGGGAACACATGATATGGCATCGGTGTGAAGGTCAGAGGATAACATGGGAGGAGTCCGTTCTCTCCTTCTACCACGTGGACTTGGGATCAAACTCATACCCTCCAGGCTTACAGCAAGGCTCTTTATCCTCAGCCCCTGCTAACTTCTTGAAAGGGTTCTTAAACTAAAATATATCCAAAAGTGGTGGAACTAAAGGCCTAGATGATATGTCATGTTAGAAAACAAACAACAAAGAAAAGTTGGTGAAATAAAGCAAGTATGGAGGGCTGAAGAAAGCGTAAAAGGAAAAACTGTCTTCACAATATATAAAGTTTGTCAGGCATAAACAGACACTAAATCTCGTAACACACCAGAAGCAGAAAAAGACGTAAGATATATATGTGAGAAACATATATTGATTCAATATATTAACAGACAATTGAAAAACACCCTCAAGTAAGAATGCTGCAAGGTGTTGTGGTGTCCATATTTAATTCCAGAACTTAGGAAGCGAAGGCATGAAGATCATGAGTGTAAAGCCAGGCTGGTTTAGGAAGCCAGATCCTCTCCAATAACAAACAAACCAACACAAAAAAAAGGAAAAAAGGAAAGAGAAAGGCAAGAGGCAACCTGTCACCTTACATATTAGACATGACCATTTGGTAAAAATGCTTAAAGGTAGGATCATTGAACAAATATTTGATCACCTATTATGAACCCTTTGAAGCCAGAGAAGAGTAAAGCAGACAAGGCTTCTGCCCTCACAAAGATTACATTCCAGTGTAAGATGGGTAGTGAATAGCAGCAGCAGCAGCAACAACAAATGACAAATGATCAAAATCAATTAAAAAAATAACATAGTAGATTAACAAAATGGTAAGAGTAAGGGTACAGCTTTATTTATTTACCAGAAAAGGCCTCTGTGAGAGGCAATAACTAACCAGAGGCCTAGATGAATGAGGCCATTGTCAGATTCTAAAGTCAGGATTCCAGGTAAAATTAAAAGAATTAAAAGCTGAAAGACAGGAATGTATCAGCACATAAAAGGAAATCAGGTCCAGCGAAACAGCTTAGCAGGAAAAGACAATTGCCCACCCGGCCTGAACTGAGAACTAAGTGCCATCCCTTAGAACCCACAGGGAGGAAGGAAGGAACCAACTCCTGCAAGTTGTTTTAGACCTTCACATATAATCCAGGGCATGTGCGCCCCCAAATACATACACAAACACACTACATAAAATGTAGTAAAAATATTAACAAGAAAGGCAACTCATGTGGCTAAAGAACAGTGGAAAAAAAAAAAAAAAAGAGTGGTGGAAAATAAGATTCAGAAGCAAACAGAAGGCTCTGAGTCAGCTACCTTTCACTCACTATGATCTAGTACCTGACAAGGAGCCAGTTAAGGGAACAGGTTTATTCTGGTTCTTAGCTTGTGAGTTTATAGTCCATCCTAGAGGTGAGGACATGGTAGTGGCAGTGGCTGATTGGTGTGGTGGCAGGAGCATGAGACCACTTGCTCACATTTTACAGCAGGAGGCAAGGCTGGGCTATAAAAGCCTCCCTCTAGCAAGTTCTGCCTCCTAAAGCTTCACCACTGTCTTAAGCAAAGCCACCAACAGGAACCAAGTGTTCAAATACATGGGCCTACAGGGAACATTTCACATTTTGAGCCACCACAGATTCAGTCATGGAAAGGACTTTTTCCCCCCTTCACAGTATAATCGGAAGCAAGGGAAAAGTAGGTCAGTGGGATTTTTGTATAGACAATCTGATCCCTCTAAAAAAAACAGAATGTGCTGACCAAAGAGAAATGGTTGGTGGATTACTACTACAGTCACAGGACATCATTTAAAAACAATTTTTTTAAAAAAAAAAAAATTAGGGTTTATTTAAAATGGATGCTTAAAGCCATTGTTCTAGCTTTAGTTCTGTTGCTATGATATACTGATAATTAGGAATGTAGGGGAAAAAAAGGTTTTTATTCAGCTTACAATTCCAGGCTATGGTCCATCAGTTTGAGGAAGTCAAGGCAGGAACTTAAGAGATTCAGTAAAAAGTAGAGAGAAATGAATACATAATGTTACTTTTTGGTTGTTCTCAGTTTGAATTCTCCACTCTTACCCCCACCTGAAGCCCACAGTGGGCTGGGTCTTCCCATATCAATTATGGCAACCCTCCCATACACCAGCCCAATGTAAACAATCATTCTCTTCCCAGAAGACTTCAGAGTTTGACAATTAATGCTAACCATCACAGCCATTAACAGATGAGATCCATCTAAGAAGTAGATGTAAATAAAAAAAATAAAATGAAAGCCTTAGAATTAAGGCCCATGGACTTAAGCATGACAGGAAGAGGAGGAAAATTTTCTGCCAGACAAACCAACAATTAATAGAGTGAAAAACAGAAAAAAAGCCAAGTTGAAACATCAGAAGCTGAAGAAAATGTTTAAAAAACAAAATGGTCAGTAATCATAACAGTAACAATGCTAAGTTTAGGTAAGGAGGTAAGAATATTTGACTTCTAAAGCCTTCCCAATGCTGTTTTTCTGTGACCATTCTGCCTATTGACTAGAAGCCTACAGAACTATAAAGTGCATGCCTGATTATCAATATCCATGACAGTCAGCTAGTAGAACAGGATGACTTCATTAGTGAAGGTATATCACATGACGTCAAGTATGTAAGTGTATATAGATCAGAACCTAAGCCCATACAATAAACATTAAAAAAAAATCATCATTTAATAGATGACTTTAAGAATCCCAAAGTTATTACCCATTTTTCATCCATTTTTTTTTCAATCACAAACCTCTTTGAAACCCTAATATTTTTCCTACAGCAGTCAAGGACCAGATTACATGGATACACACAACACAAATATAGAAATGATTACGTGGGTGCATTACAACACAAATATATAAAAGCATTTTTGTAAGTAACAGTCATATCTGTGAGACCCTTAGAAAATCATTCTGGAGACATCAGCAAATTTGAAACAATACAAAGCACTTCAAAATAAAATTAATGACAGTAAACAAAATGTGTCATGCATACTTTTAAAATTAGACTCTATTTGTATCACAAATAATGGCAAGAAAAATTTTTTAATTTAAATAAACTTACCACTAACATTTTCAGTTAAAATAAGGTGAAAGACCTGAGCAAAGGCATCAACATCTTTATGCAGCCATATGTCAGAAAGGCAAGCATCCATTTCCTTAATTAACCATGGTTCAAGGCAATTCACATCTTTTTCTGTCTTTTAAAAACAAAAAAAGCAAAGATTACAAATTATCTAATTGGTTAATATTTGATTACCACAGGAAAGTAAAATGGCTACAATCATCACAGGAACTAAACAGCATATACATACAGTACTCAAAAGTCTCGAATTTCATCTTATAAACATTATCTTTCATAATACTGTATTTTGATATTATAGTCATCTTTTCTCTAAAAGTGAGCTTGTCAGCAAAGTACTAGCCACATGATCTAGCCACATGAACTAATTGTGCTTCTGATAGTAAAAGTACCTATGTACCACAGGGCTCTTTTCCAGCTACAGAGGAAACATCACCCTAGAGCTTAACTAATACCAGTCTCTGTTCTATATCAAGTACATCAGAGTCTCTACTGGCATGGAGGCTCTCACCTATAATCCCAGCATCTCAGGAAACTGAGGCAGGAGAATACAAGTTTCAAAGCCACCCTGTGCTATATACCAAGTTCCAGACGACATGAGCTGTCTCAAAAAGCCAAGAAGAATTCTTTTCCTACACTAGCTCCCCCAGAGAAGCTCTGTAGGGAAACAAATTATACCAGGCTTTAGAAGTTTCTCTTATGTATAATGTCCAATTCGGTTCTTAAAACCACACTAATATAGAATGTGAGCATCCATGCATCTCATGCAAAACAAAGAAAAAGAAAAAGAAAGGAAGAAAGAGGAAGGAAGGAAGGAAGGAAGGAAGGAAGGAAGGAAATAAGGAAGGAAATACAGCTAAATTCAGTTAAGAGCACTTGCTGCCTTTGCATAGAACCCACATTTGGTTCCCAGCAGCATTTACATGGTGGCTCATAATTACCTGTAACTCTAGTTCCAGAGGACACCATTCCCACTTCTGGGTTCTGAGGGTATCTGCACTGATGTGCACATACATACATCAGGCAAAGCATTCAAACACATAAAATAAAAATAAATAAACCTTTAAAATAGCTAAATTCTTCTTCTAAAGACAAAGTTTGGAACCATGAGTATAGCTCAAGAGTAAAGTGTTTACAAGGCCCTAAATTTAATCATCAACCCTTTAAAAAGAGTTAGATTATTCTGAAAATATGTTGTAGAGTAAAATAAACTAAGAAAATTACCCCCTACTAACAAAGTAAAAAAGTACAATTATCTCATTAAAGTTGTTTAACCTATAAAACTTTTGCTAAAAATATCATTATGAACCATTATATTAAAATATCTTATCTTACCAACTGACTAAATACAGCATCACCTCCATCATCCAATAAATCATATTCCTCAGACACACTTGCAACAGCCCGCTGCCTCTGAGATTCGGGCTTGAAAGTATTCTCTTGAGCTGAGTACCATTCTGTGAGTGTGGTCTGCTGTTTCTCCTCTAAATTAAAAGGGAAAAAAATAAGACAAGTCATTTCATTTTGATAATGTGTTCATTTGTTTAAAAAATAAGAAAACCAAAAACCTAAGTGAATCTCATATCACTTGAAAGTTGGCTTTACTTTGAAGTCACTCTTAAAAAATATACTGGGTCTTTCATAAGGCTGTGCAACATAAAGACATATGAAGCTACATAAAAATGTTCATTCATCTACTGGTAAGAAGTTTGCTTCGACCCCAGAGTTTCAAGAAGAGCATCTTTCCCTATAATATACCTACTGTTTAAATCAATAACTAATATTCATAAGGCACTTTTTAGAAAACTATTAAATATATCATCTCAAATGTTTCAGATACAAAAAGTCAGAAGTTTCAAAATTTTCAACATCTACATTTCATAATTTACATGAATGATGTATGTTGCCGTGACATAGGAATCACTAATTACATATTCAAGTGGAGAATCAATAGTTGTATGTCCATAATCATAAACAGTAAACAAGATTATAACTAAGTAAACTATAAAAAGGAAAAGGGGTCCCAGCAATCGGGAGGCAGAGGCAGGCAGATCTCTGAGTTCGAGGCCAGCCTGGACTACAAAGCGAGTTCCCTATAGGACAGGCTCCAAACAAAACTGAGAAACTCTGTGGATTCAGACATACTCAACCTCCTTCATTCCAGAATGTGGTTTACACAGATTATATATCTGTGCAAAAGTATATCCCAGGGGTTAGAAAGATGGCTCAGCAGTTCAGAACACTGACTGTCCTTCTAGAGCACCTGAGTTCTGCTTTCAGGAACATAGTCATAGTCACCTGCAACTCCAGTTCCAGGGGATCCTATAATCTCTTCTGGCCTCTGCAGGCACAGCATGCATATGGTACACAGACATACATGCATGCAAAAACCCCACACAAATTTAATAAAAATAAATAAATTTTCCTTTAAAAACTATATTTAGGGGCTGGAGAGATGGCTCACTGGTTAAGAACACTAGCTGGTCTTCCATTGGTCCTGAGTTCAATTCCCACCAACTACATGGTGGCTCACAACTGTCTGTAATGAGATCTGGTACTCCCTTCTGGCCTGCAGGAATACATGCAGACAGAACACTGTATACATAATAAACAATCTTTAAAAACAAAATAAAACAAACTATATTTAGGACAATAGTATCACATAATTTTATCTAATTACACGTAAGGGAAAAATGTTTGCAAGTGTCCTGTTCTTCTATAAGCTAAAAAAAAACTACAGCTTTATAAGAAATAATTCTTCACAGAAATTTCTTTGCTAAAAACCTCACCTCGTTGCTTTTCCTTTTTGTACTTTAACATTTCTTTGTTGGTATAACCAGTAGTTCTTAAAATATCTTCCAGAAACATTTCTTTTACTTCAAATGGTCTTCCCTGTACTAAAAAATAAAAATGTTTAAATATCTACTCTGCATCCTATAGATAATTCACAAAAAAGCAAGAATTCCCATATTTAATGAAGCCTGTTATCATATGCAAAAGCTGTTCCAAAACTCCAGTGACTCTCCTGATACTTCCCAGTAACTGTAATGATGCTCTACAGTCATCTGACTACAGTGGACAACTGACTTCATATGCTGGACAAGTGTTCCCACGCTTTCCCCCCTAGTGTTTACTATCTACTTGCCAAGTGTGTAGCATCACATTAGGGACCTGGAATACTACGGTAAGTACAAACAGTGCTACTTCCTATTTCCATGAAGCACACGAAGCAGGGAAGACCAGTAACATGAAAAAAGAATGTAAACAGAAAGTTGTGCAAAGTCCAATGAGAAAGTACTACAAGAAAGAAGTATGGGATATCATGGCAGTATACCACAGGGAAGTGATTACATCAAGAAAAGGTTTTTACTGAGACATTGGAGAACAAAGACATAAAGGAACTGCATGCCACAGAAAGTACATAGTATGTGAAGAAAACACAACATGCACAACGACACTGCGGTGGAACCAAAATGAGGCTGTTATCAAGAAACTAAAAGGGAAGTGTGAGAATAGGAGAGGCAAAAGAAGTTAAAGCCAGAGAAACAAATGAAGGCATATCAGGGTGTTTGTCTTGAAATAAAGGTCACTCAAGGCGTAAGAGAGTGGTAACCATCATCAGAATTTGACTTCAGAAAGAACTACCCGGGAAACAATATAGAGAGTGGATTTTTAAAAACAGAAGAGTAGAACCAGACAAAGTAGTGACATGTATAATAGTTCAGGAATAGATGAAAACAAGTTATATAACAATAGTGAGAGTAAAGATTAAAAAACAATACAAAAACATAGATCGATTATTAAAACAGAAAGTAAAATAGAGAAATCATAGTTATATTTGTTATAAGAATATTTTTTAATCTGTTGCAATACCTGGCTATCTGGTTTGCCCAACAAGAAGGCTGTTTCTCTGAGTAACAAGGAAAGCTAAAGAGAAATATGTTGGGCACTGAGAGGTGAGCTTTCCTTTCATGCTTATCAAAGGTGACAAGCAAACTTTCAATTGGCATAGGTATCAATTTTATGTGCCAAATCATCCAAGAAAATATTACTAATATTATCAGATAAATGTACAAGTTTAAGACTTAGGTGACTCTAGATATCACCCAAAATACACAAGACAAAAAGAAAACCATAATTTATTGCCACACCAAATCCAGTAGATTCTGTGTGACAAGTTCCACAGAATGAGGCGATAACTTCAAAAGAAGGAGGTCTCCTGGAAATAGTTGTGGAACTCTCAACCGGAGAAAAATATTGGGCTGTGATTCTCGTGGCAATTTCTGTTTGTTCTTCTATTCCTTCTTTTTTCACATTAACGAAATGTTCCTAAAAGCCTATGCTGACATTTTAAACAAAAGAAATAGATAAGAAACCATCCCCTAAGATGGGTTACTAGCCATGATCTCATCTCAGGAAAAACCAGCACTTTCCAAATCATTCACGTCATTCACTTAAGTACAAATAATAAAAACTTTCCCAACAATAAAATTTCATATGGCTGTACATATGTCACTGAAAGTGGGCTTAAGTGTCTGGTAATGAACACTTTTAATAAGGAAAAGTTAAAATAGTTTAAATAGTTCAATACTTCAAAAACTCACAAGAACTAGGTAATAGATGTTAAACAATAACTGACCATAAAAACATATTAATTTGATTTAAGAAATATGTGGTTAGCCTTGGATGATACTATGTTAATCAAGGATGGTCCTATGTTTTTACTAATCAAAGACAAATTTTATGTTTTGATTAGCCCTGGATGATTCTATGTTCTGGATTTCTGCATCACTGTGCCAAGTAACAATAAATGTCATATGTTTGGGTTTATTTAACAAAAATATCCCCTGAGAAAATATCTCTATAAAAAACCTTGTTTGAGAACTGCAAAATACACTCAGATTCAAACTACTTCTGTGTTTGTTTCTGTTTGTCACCGCTAAATCCTTGCCCACCTATTCTTTGAGGATCCTCATCCCAGGGACTCCCATAACCGACTGGGGTGGTCTGTGGCAATTTATGGTTGAAGTATTCAGTTTAGGACATATTAGAGGTGATGCACCCATAAAATCTCTACTTCCAAAACTCTGGAGAAAAATTATCAGTATACAAAAGAAAGTAGGAACCACACGCATTAAATAAAATACTCTCCATGAAAATTAAATGCACATCTACAATATCTAGTAGAGTTGCAAACAAGGGCAGAAAGAGAGAAGGAAAGAAGAGTGAACAGAAACAGAAAGGAAAGAAATTTAGGGAATAAAGGTAAAAAACATCAACATATCAGTACATGCCCATGAAAAAAAGCCCAGAGAGAAAAGTAAGAAAAGCTATAATGTAGATCAAGACTCAAGAAGTAATGATCCCAAACAAACTGAGCTCTGAGAATCACAAACACACACACACACACACACAAAGAAAAAGAATAAAATATAACTTCAAATAAAAATGCTAAGTGAACAGCTTCCAACAATTGAAAAATGTAAATCAATCATCCTTTAGAAAAACTTATATAGTGAATCTTAATAAAATAATGATGAAGGGACCTCAGGATATGATGGCAAATTAGAAGATGTCTTCCTGTGACCCAGTGAAGAAGTACCAAGATAAGAAAATCAAATGAGGAAGGGCTTGGAAAACATACAGAGTTATAGTATGGATGAAAAGTGCAGGGACACAAAACAGAAAAAAAGCAAAAGGGATGCATAGTTCTCTAGTATATGGAAGGGAAGCAGAAGCCTCCTCCAGAAGGTAAACTAGGCAGCCCAGAAGAAAAGAGGCTACAGTGTCTATCTACAGAACTCAGATCCAGCTAAGACAACTGACTTCTTAAGCAGAATAGGTCAGGAATGGACAGGGGGCCCCCAGCTTAGAAGTGGTAGATCATACTAAGAAAAAAATCTATTGTTTAAAACTGACATACATTGGTATTCTGAGACCAAAAGTACTCAACAAGTCATGGAACCTAAATTCAAACTGTCACAATTTCAAGGTTAAAGACAATGTAAAGAGGTAGCTGGCCTGGACTTTGACAAGCCAAAACATGAAGATATAAGATGTATAGCTCAAGCAGGACGTGTACAGGGAGTACAGGGAATGGAAGTCTAATGTCCTAACATTAGGAATAGACCTCACCAACCAAGAGTTAAGTGTGGAGAGGGACAGACTCCAGCCTGGAGTCAACAAGTAGATAAACTTGACAGTATACATGACTGTCTCCAGGCAATAAAGTACAGAAGCTGCAGAACAATGTTTGAAGAGAAACACAGGACAAAAAGAAGCTCATTTCTTTTTAAGATTAGAAAATTGGATTTGCTACACAGCATCTGAAACTACTGAAGCAAAAGAGAGGTCAAAGTAGAGACAGACCACTATGAAGTCTGTCTCAGGGGAAGCATAAATGAATATCGTCTACTTCAGAGTATCTCCCAAATTCTGATTAAATAAATAAATACAACTGAATCACACTTCAAAGAAATTATAGAAGATAACTGGTAGCCATACTATATATCACTGGACAACTTCCAAAATATCTGATGAAGAGGTTCACATCCAAGGCAGCACTAGAAAGGATTAGTTTCAAAGTGGGGTGTTTTTGCAACAAATCTCTTAACTTTGTAAGTAAAAAATCACTGAATCGATCCCTTTCATGCACTTCATCCTGCAAGGAATAGAAACAGAAATGAAACCATGGATCAGGTTAAACTCTGTGGATGACTCAGTCTTTAAAAGAAAAACACCACTAAACTTAAATTGCTCAAATTAAATAAGGAAAGGCCAATCAATACCACAGAACATTTGCAGTATGTACAATTCAGAAATCATCATACATTAATAACTTACTGTAGATGACAAAGTATTGTCCCTTTTCATACAAAATGAAAATCAACAAACTACAAAAAATCTAAATTATCTCAGCCTATTAAATAAATGAAGTCTTAATATAAACAAAATCAATTTATATATACAGTAGTGCACCCTTGTAATCTCAGCTACTCAGGAGACTGAAGCAAGAAGACAGCAAGTTGGAGGCCATCCTAAGCAATATAGCAAGATCCAATCTCCAAACCAAAACCCATGTATGTGTATCTGTTAGCACTAGGGAGCAAGTGAATCCTTTGGTTAGGCAAGGCCTCTAAAAGCCCCTTATTAAATGCTACAACTTTATTTTTTTTCTGACAGAAACGAGAAAAAAAGCTTAGAATATTTTAATAGAAGGGTAGTTCCCACTTTACAAGTAGCTAATTAATTCAGAAACTTAACCATGAAGTTAAAATGACTATAAAGTATATAGTTGTCATTAGGAAATATGTGACACTAAAGGAGTAATTAGAAAGCTTACTGAAGGTGTACAGTAGTGGCACACATCTTTAATCCCAGCACTCAGAAGGCAGAGGCAAGCAGATATCTGCGAGTTCTAGGCCAGCCTGGTCTACAGAGTGAGTTCCAGGACAGACTCCAAAAGCTACACAGAGGCACTCTGTCATGAAAAAAACAAAAACAAAAACAAAAGCAACCATAGTGACTAGAGGAAAGTTTTTACCATTTCTAGAAAATTATAAATACATGCATCATTTTCACAGATGAAAAGCTTATTTTCAAAAACAACTTTCTACTTGTTTATTTCTCCATGATACCCAGTGGTAACAGCACCTTTATGTAATATAAGATATATTCCTGATAGTTACACCACCAAATTACCTTGAACAGAATGTACTAAAGACAATAATTCATTCTCAACTTACCCTATTCTAAAATTATCATTATGTAATTAAATACTAAGCTGTCTCAGTAATATGGCAAACTCAACAGCAGTCTTACCACAATGACATGGGTCACAGTTGACAATGTACTATCGCCTGCCATCAACGTACGAAGTAATACCCCATTAGTGCAAAATGTCAGAAGTGTCTTTGGAGAAACCCTTTTTAAAAATCAAAATAAAGTGCACAATTACAAATCTTTTACATAATTAAAATACAATTACTTTAAATGTCTACCATATATACTTCAGCAAATAATATGAATATAGTATGTATATTGTTATATTATTAATGTTCTACTACATGTGGCTTATTAGAAAAGTTATATAAAACATATATGTAATACCTGACAATCACAAATTTCATCAATAATAGCTTTTAAGTTATATATTTTGTTAAACATAATTAATGTTTGTAGGTTAAAAACAACCTTTAAAAATTTAATTTAGTTAAAAGAATTATACTACAAGTGAAAAAAACTTTTCTAGTCATTGCTACAAACCAAGAAATGCTAACACTTGTCAAGAAGGTATTAGAACTATTAGAGCAGGCTAAGCATCCTTGGTCTGGAAATTCAAACTCCCAAGTGTCTAGCTTCAGATTTCAGAACATTCCATATGCTCAACCAGTAAAGTTTGTTTGTATATACATTGATATACAAAATCAAAAATATTCTAAAATATGATACACATGACCCCAAGCATTCTGTAGAAGGAATGTACCCCCATATTTTCAAGTGACACCCTTTTTCCTTATTATTGTTACATATATGTGCACAAATAGCTACATTCAACCTGCTAAGTACAGTTTTGTTGTTCATGTGTTCATAGTTTCAGAGATGACCACTTAATTCTCCCTCTCTCCAGTACTCATTGCCTGTGTTCTTTGTCTTGGAGTGGGACCCTTGAGACTTTACCCCTTCTACTTACTATGATCATTTAATCCTCTATTTTTAGTCAAATGTATATATTTAGCCAGCTTTAAGCATGATGAATGGTAGGAAGACTGTCTTTACCTGCTTTCTAATCGGATCTGATAACCAATTGTTTGGCCAATTCTTTCCCTTCTTTCTGCAGCAACTCTTTCAGCCACAGCAATAGCAGCTAATCGTCTTGGTTGAGTACAAAATATTCGGCAGGGGATGCCATTTTTAAAGCAGTCATCTAATAGGAACTGAGGAATCTAAAACAAAAATTTTAAAGTACTATGAGATAGCATTCACTTTGCATACCTAAAATATCAAAACAAATCAAATTTCAAAATTCCATAACATGTCAAGATATTAACTAATCTTCAAATCAGTAAGTCTCATATGACTGCCAATAATCGATGAGAAAGTGTATGTTAACAGATTTTGTTTACAATGAGAAAAAAACAAATATTTTAAATCAAATCTAACAAGAAATATTCAAGGTAAAGAAGACCTTCAAATACTTCTGAAAACCAAAAATGACCAGACTATACTGATAAATGACTCCTGGATGGTTACAATCACTACTGTAATGTTAATTTATCCTATAAAAACAATGACAAAGTCCCTCTGTGATCTTTTAATATTCAAATCAACAAGAAAACAAAAATAACCTACTATATATATATATATATATATATACATTGTCATAATAAAATTCAGAAAGATCATAAATATATACAATGAATCTTTTTTTTTTTTTTTTTTTTTTTTTTTTTTTTTTTTTGAGAGGGTCAAAATATTTGGAGCCAGAAAGATGGCTCAGTAGGTAGGAGTACTCATTGTCCTTCCAAGTACCTGGTTCATTCAATTCCCAGCACCCACATGACAGTTCACAACTATCTGTAACTCCACTCCCAGGGGATCTGAGACCTTCTTCTGGTCTCTGTTAGCACTGCAATCATGTGGTACACAATGATAACTGAGATAACCCAAACCCAGAAAGACAGGTGCTATAAATTCTCTTTCATACATGTATACTAGCTAAAGTGCATTTAAATTGGAATAACAAAGAAGGGAGGAAACTAAGGGCAATGAGGGTGGGTAATTTCAGGGGATGGAGGTAGAATACAGGGGAAAGGGGAATAAAGTAATAGAGTTCAACTGGTGTAGGGGAACAGAAGGCAAGGTAAAGGAGAGAGTGCAGAAAGAAATAACTAATGCTAAAGACCTCTAAAATTACCACATGGAAACCTACTATTGTAGGAGTTTCCTAAACTACATATAAAGGAGTTTTAATGGAGTTGCCCTATATAATAGGCAACAATGTTTCTCCCAGACACAATAGGCTATCATATAAAAAGACCGTAGGATTACATCTTTTTGAGTTGTTGGTCATTGGGGTTCCATAGGCCCACACAAACATTACAGGCTATTGTCACTGTTCTTGGTTACACTTCAGAACTTGGTAGGAGCCTACTGTTGAAGATACCACATACTTGAGTCACAGGACATGAAAAATCAAGCTGGTAATAACCTGGAAGCATCCTCCCTACTGGCCAGCTTCCATGGTGCTGAAGGTACTATGCATACTACTAGAGAAGAAAAATAATTAATAGTCTTACCCAGATGTGAGCCCTGTGAGCTATAATAGCAAATGGCCTACAAAGATATGCTACCTGAACAACTGTGGTATGAATATCCATTTCTGACTGGATAAAGCCTGCTCCACAAGACAGAATTCATACCTGGTACTGTTAACTGGGCCAAAACTCTGAAGCTGGCTAGGTCATAGGCCCTGGGGGATAGTACCGAATAGTATTATTCTGTTCAATAGATATAGTAATAAATCCCTCCTATTCTTACCTTTATAATCATAGATAAGTACAGTACATCTCTAAACCCTCATTGGAGAAGCTTCTTTACACAGTAGGTGATTAATACAGAGATCTATAACTGGCTACTGTGCTGAGAATAAGATACTATGTTCAACTCTAAATGGCACAGCAATACCACATCCCTTCCCCCAAGGCTCAGGAATCATAAACAGAACAGAAAGACTGCTAGAGCCACAGGCAGTAGATGTCTGCAGGAAAACAGTGTTTGCTAAACATGTCAGTACCACTGTACACATGAACTCACAGTAGCAGTGACTACTTGCACAGGATCTGCACAAGATCTACCCAAAATCCCAGCATGGATAAAAGAAGGGTTCATGAAGCTCCACTACTAGCTGAGGACCTATCAGCAACTGACGGTTGTTGGTGAAGGGAAAGTCAGTTTTCTTCAGAATGTAGCCCCTACAGATTTTCTGTATGCACTCAGTAACAATTTGTGTATGAAATAACTATTAGTAGAATAACCACTGGCTTGTTTTTAAACATATAGTAGAAATTTGACATAAAACTATAAAATAAAATAAATTATATTTTCTTTAGTAAACTAACAAAGAAAAAACAAACCTGTGTGGTCTTTCCAGAGCCAGTTTCTCCTACAATCAAAACTACTTTATTTTCTTTTATTATTTTAACTATTTCTTCTTGTTTCTCAAAAACTGGTAAAGACTGCCTGAATGAATCAAATTCAGATTCTCCCCTTTTCACAGGAACTTGAGGTATGCCATTGTTGAGTCGCCCACTTGTCTTGCTCATTTCTCGGTTTTCTTCAAAAATGAATAAACAGAAAATAAGCTTAGGATCTACACTCAAATGACACATTGAAAATGAAGATATATAATTTCATATGCTTCTTTTGGATTTTTCTTTTCTATCCAGTGCCTCAACTATTGCCCTTCTGTACATGTTATTTTATACGCTACAAGTCTTGCATCAATTACACAGCAAGTCTTTTTCAAAAGTGTTTCCAGTGCTTAACAAATAAAAGCCAATAAAAATTACTCCACAATCACTAAAACAAAACATAATCTTAATCACATAAATTTTTTCAAGTTTGCCATAAGTTTCTATCAGTAATGTCAAAGAAAATTAAAATTTTAAGCAGGAAATAATGTACATTTTAAAATCTGATGCATATAATATAATGTGAAAAAGGAATATAGTCTACATGTTTAAAATGACACATATACAATTAAATGATTCACAGAGCAATATTTGTAAATACAAGGTTCTAATGCCTAACAAATTTTCCAACACAGCATTTCAGCCAATATCCACACATACCTAAGCTGGTGTAATAAAGAATATATTCTCCAAATAGCTCAAACTATTTCTGTGTGTCCACACTTAAGACACTCTTTTTAGGGTTTGGGTTATAGCTTAATGGTAGTGTGCTTGCATACCATTCATGAGTCCCACAGTATGGCAAAACAATCAAAACTTTAAAAATATATGAAACAAGCCCTTTGATATCTAGGACCATGTATGACCTATGACTTGTAGACCCACTCCTTAGACAACAATAATTATGTAAAGTCTACAGTAGGCAGCTAGATAACTTTCTCACTTTGAAAGCTATTTTTCTGAATAAAATTATGACTTCACTTTATAACTTATATACAAACTGTCTTTGAATAATTTAACATACTACAGATTCTTCCCCAGCCCTTAGCAGAAGTTAAAGTCCCAGTTTAAACTCTTACTCATTAACATATCAAAGCAGTAATAGAGAAAAGGCCCAGACTTTGGAGTGGAATCTCAGCAGTGTTTACTGGCTAGCTGAGTAACATGAAGGAATCATTTCACCCTTCTGAGCTCCAGCTTCTCCACTGCCCACAGTTTCACCTCTCAAAGATAGCTACTGTGAGGCTATAAGGAATGAGGATACTACCAAGTGCAATGAACAGTAGCTATTACTACAATCTTTAAAAATCTTGGTTTGATTGCATGATATACCTTAATACCTTATTTCAAACTTTTTATAATTCTTAATCATCTCTAATTCAATATTAAAACTAGAAAAAAAACTTACACCATATTAGTTCTAAAAAGCAAATTTAATAATAGGATAAATAAGGAAGCTCCCAGAAAATACATACCAGCTTCGACTGCAAACACATTTCCTCTTTCTGTTTTAGGCAGAAGTTAAGAATGCTTTTTATTGGTGACAGGAAATCTCTGAATTAGGCTCCTAACAGCATGTTTTGTATTATGAGTCAAATTACAGGTCATCATTGCATGAGCTGTTTCTGATCCATCTTTCTTCTTCACAGTTAGGTATCTATTTGCTCCCTTTCTGAATATTAATAGAAATCATTTATTTACTATATATAGTCACCTTGTCCACATATGACATATGCCTACTTAGAAAATAAATCTCAAGCAAAACAATGAAAAAACAAAAATTCTTTGAGATATTAAAATTCTCTCCAAAAAAACAACAAAGAGAAATTAAGCTGTCACAAGAGTATTTTCAATTAAACTATCAAAATGCTACAAATCCAATTTTAAATAAATAATAACAAAAGAAAAAGCCTAATATATCCATAAATGTTAAAATTTGAATTTAGCAGACTGTGGTAGATAAACCATCACCAGTTAATATGTACTGGGAAGAATATAAAGATAGGTGAAATCAGAACAAAAGAACCTAATACTGAAAAGGTGATGGCTGACTATTCATGTTAGCACACCCCACAGCAGGTTTGAGAATGTGTTAACAATGTTTCATTCCCAGGAGAGCCTATTAAAAGAGCCACTTTTAACAACTGAACCCAAACTGTGCAACACAGCATTACCAATAATTACTTTAAGCACATACTTTAGAAATGAAAAGATTTTTCCCAAAGCTTCTCATATATTCTTCAACTCTGTAACAGCTCAAGGTCCTGGCTTTAAGCCCAGAATAATAATATATACTTTGAAGGACTATTTATATAATTAACAAGATAGATGTGAAATTACAGCATTTGTCACAGAGCAGGCTTTAAATGAAAGCCATTACAATAAGAAAAAAAAACATGTCTCAAAATTACCCAAAATATTCCAAAACAGCATTTTCATTTGCTTATATAGCTATCATATAAAAATCAGCAAGAGAACCACAAATATGGTGAAATGACATTATTTTATACTTTTCCCAATTTTCATTACATTTAAATTCTGTCAACAACATGTTCTTCATAAGAACATTAAACTGGAACCAGACTGGTCAACCCTGACAACCTAAGTTCAATCCTGGGAATCAACAGGATGGATGGAGAGAATCAACTCTCCAAGTTGTCAGCTGACGATACGTGCTGTAGCATTTGTGTGCATACTTATGCCCTCAAATACGTAAGTGACTACATAAATGTAAAGAACACTAAAAGGTAGTTTTAACTGAAAACACTAAACTGTAGTTTTAACTGTGTCTAAATACAGCTCTTACTTTACCAACATTTAAATGTCTGCATTTCCTTACTGAATACCATAGTGAATGATAAGTTCTCAATGCTGTTGTCTACTCTCTGAGTGCTTAGCAACACTTAAATGGGATAAACAACTGTCCAGATTAGCTGGGTGTGGTGACACACACCTGTATTCCCAGCACTTGGGAGGTGAAAGCCTGATAATCATGGCATTCAAGGCCAGCCTAGGCTACCTTAGACTCTGATTCAGTGGAAAAAAGAATAATTAAGATATAGCCTGGTCTAGAAATTTATTATAATTTCCACGGTGAACTGGAATTACTAAATTCTAAGCATGCTCTCCATAGTAGGTTCTTTCCCTTGTGTTGCTCATTCAACTGCTCATTCTCCTGTGCTGCTCTTTGCATAAATTTTAACTACAGAGTGATGTGGGATGTCTTTCTGTATGCTGCCGCCAGGGAGGCAAAATGCCAGGGCATCACTGGTAGGTCACATCCACGCAGTGACACACAGATTAGTAGAAATAGATTAATTTATAAGAGAGAGAGCTAGACAGTAAGAAGCCTACCATTGACCAAACAATTATATATTAAGTCTCTGAGTGGCTATCTTAAAAGTGTCTGCAGGGACCCTGTGGGCAGAGAGAAGCCAGTCAAGTGGGACCAGGATAGAGAAAAACCTTCCATTTACAATAGAGGGTGGAAATAATTCTGAAATGAAATAAGCATGAAAGAAGTCTGAAAGCTAATGTTCATTCTGTACTACTTTTTCAATTAATTAACTATCTGACCAAAAGTACATCATTGTAGTTCTCTAACACTGTATGCTGGTTAATAAAACCATCTCTAAGGTATCTGTGCTATCAAGACACTTTCATTTTCTTTAAAAAATTATCTCGGCAAGGTTTGTTATTTTTCACCTTTTTCTCTCTGAAATTACTCATAATTCATAAATATATGCCAGACACTATGGCATAACCTGTGATTACAAAATGAAGTAAAATATACTACTCTTTCCTGAAGCCCACAACCAAACCAATGGATCAAACTAAAACTTCCCTAACACAGGCTATCTCTGTGAGTAAAATAATTTAAATAAGCAGGTTCAAATTTAAATTACCATTGAACATTTAGTTTCAGTACATGTAGCAGAAAGATAATAACTTGATAAAGATTTTATCCTTGGCAATTACCATTCGTGCTTATACATTAAGCACCACAAAGACAATGGTATATACATGATATTTGGGATAAAATATTCATATTATCTTTGTGAGAATGAAAATATAAAGTAGAGATTTGAATTAGTATGAAAACTAAAACACTGGGATCCCCTCATCATGTATCTACTCCAATGTAACTGATGCTACTATGGCTTTGATAAAACACAAAAAGCACCCTTTCCCAAATAAAACTAGAAACTAGCTGTACAGGTAGAGTGCCACTAGATAAGTGGATTGCCTTGGAAAGTTTTAAAACAAGATATAATCCCATATGCAATTATTAAACATAAAAATAAATTTTGAGCACCAGCAAGATGGCTCAGTGAATAAAAAGAGGCCACACTGCCCAAGTTTGACAACCTGACTTCAACCCCAGGGACCCAGAGTAGAAGGAAAGAACTGAGAATGGACTCCTGAAAATTGTCTTCTGACATCCACATTCACAGCCATGGCATGCACACACAAAAATATAAACATACACGCTATAATTTAATTAAATTAGAAGTCAATGTTAGGGGAGGAGGGAAGTGAAGATATTCATCAACATGCATAAAATTAGGAGAAGTAAGTCTGGTGCTCGTTGCTGGATACCAACTACTGTTAACAATAAGGTGTTTTTAAATAGCTACAAGAGGATCCTAAATGTTCTCATCATAAAGAAAGAACTATGTAAAGCAACAGATATGCTAACTACCCTGTTCTCCCTAGTATATAAAAGGACCGGAAAGATAGATCCATGGTTTAGAGCACTTGTTCTTGCAGAGGACTGGTGTTCATAACTAATATGGTGGTTCATAACCATCTGTAACTCGAAAAGATCCAACACCCTCTTCTGACCTCTGCAGATATTATAGGCAAAGGGTGCACAGGTATACAGACAGACAAAACATCCATAAAATACAATAAAAATAACTCTTAAAAAAAAAAAAAACTTCATTGACTCACCAAGCTAGACTTCAGTGCAATCTTTACTTTAGTCTGTCCTAAATTATTTCTCTGAGTTAATAAATATATATGTGCTATATCACCACATGAAAAAAAAACTGTCACTCAACACTCATTACCAAGAATACCAATATAACTCAATTTCAGAGACTACTTCTGACTTAACCTAGAAAGAGTACCAGAAGAGCCCTTATAAAACTTGCTGAAGAAAAAAAAAAACCTCTATCTTCTCACAGTTAGATCCTATGTTCCCTTCCCATAATTTGCAACTGTTCGTTCAAGGATCTTTCCTTTGTCACGTCTTCACTAAATTCTGTATGCATATGTGCAAAGCAGTTTTTAATAAACCAATTTCTTTCTCACAGCCAGATGTAGTTGTACATGCCTTTAATCCCAGCACTTGGGAGACAGAAGCAGACAAATCTGAGTCTGATGCCAACCTGGTCTACAGAGTTAGTCCCAGGACAGTTAAGGCTACACAAAGAAACCTTGTCTTAAAATAAATTAATTTGTTAAATGAAAAATAAAGAAACCTGTTTGTTTCTGTCATTAATCTGCCATTCACCAGTCTAATGGTAAAGAACCTAAGATGAATATGGAAGCAATATTCACTTTTAAATTTTTTCAAACTTATTTTATGAATATATACAAATTCAGGGCTTCACATGTATGTCATTGGACAACTATCTGGAATTAATTTTCTCCTTTCACATACTTAAGGTTGGGTCTCACTCAACCACTGTGCTAACTTTGGGCCCATTCTGCAGTCTCCTGCTCCCACTTCACCATGAGGGTATACAGTTGCCGTTGTTTTAACCAGAGTCATCTTTACTTTACTCTCTTTTTTTCAAGGTGGGTTCTGGGGATGGAATTCAGGTTGTCAGGCTTACAAAGCAGAAGCTGTCCCCAGATGAGCCATCTCCCTGGCCCTAACTTATTTCTGCACCTGGGTGGTAAGGCCAGTTGGAGGAAGAAAAGCTGACCTTGGTACAGGCCTAAATGAGTTTATCTACATATTAAAAACATGGAAGTTAAAACAAAAATAATGATTAAAATTAGTCAGACACATTTGTCCTCTTTTGTAGTAACTTTGTAAAAATAATAAAAGTTGTAAACTTACCCTTTACTTTTAGAAACTAAACCAAGAGACTGACTCAGTCGGTGGATAAAGGCTCTTTCCGTACTGGTCAAAGAAGAAGGAAATTCCATTTCTACACAGAAAAAAAGGTTCCACTTATAGACAATGATAGGTATAAAATATGAAAAAATACATGTAAGTATACAATCAAGTTATACATTCATGTGAAAGCATATTAATTCAGTAACTCATATCTAATAGGATATTAATCTTAATATTTATTTAATCGTGTGTGTGTGTGTGTGTGTGTGTGTGTGTGTGTGTGTGTGTGTGTGTCTTATATGTCCACCATATGTGTGCAGTGCAGTGCCCACAGGTCAGATCCCCTGGAAGTGAGTTATGGATGATTTTAAGTTACCAAGAGGGTGTTGGAAATCAAACCTGAGTCTTCTGCAGGAGCAGCCAGTGCTCTTTAACTACTGAGCCATCTTTCCAGTCCAAAATTCTGATACTAATTTTTAAGCTACACATAAAACCTAAATATGATAAAGGACTATGAAATTCAGCAGAGATTATACATCTGTGTTGAAATCTTGAATTGACATAACAACTATGGACATATTTTACTAATTTAACTTATTCCTGTTTTGCTTGGCAAAAAATTGTATTTTCTTCAAAAATGAGGTATGGTCAAGCATTGCAAATTCTAAAGTTGAAACTCCTATGTCACTGTTCTTAAAACTGCATAGCTCTCCTATTCACTATTTCTGGATTTGTTGTGACATTTTGCAAAGGCGTTGCTTCTGTCAAATATATGTTCAAAATCATTTCGTTTGCCACTTTGAATCGTTAAGCCTCATCAGCAAGAGTCTCCCATTTAATAAGTCAGCAAATCGGAATGAGGGATGCAGACACTATGGGTCACTTCAGTACTGTATTAAGAGGACCGTGGCAAACAGGTCTCTAACCCGTTAAGGCATGAAACACGCTTAGAATACCAAAACAAGTTTAATTTGTGTTTGATACGATGCTTTTAGAATTTCAAAAAAGTCCTTAATATTGTCAGGGTTTTTACTTATCTGTTTCATTTCCTTCCGCTCCTTTGAAGATTTTGCAGCTTAAAGTAAGGCTACACCTTCTTTTCAATAATAACCAGGAGGAGGACGTTGGTGATGGTAGGGGCTTATCAACTCCTTGAAAAATAATGTTGACTTAGCATAGCAGCCTAGGGCTGCAGAAAAGTACCCAGGAAAATAAAAAAAAATCCCACCTGGGAGCACCTAACCTTTTCACCCTCTGTCACCCGGCCCCTGCTCTATAAGTCCCCCTGACCCCCTGACCACAGGGCATCCCACTCCACGAGCGACAGTCGTCACGCGACAGGCGCGGGTTTCACCTCTGCGGCCCGGCCCTCGGTTCCTCTGCCCCAGTTCCAGGCGGGCCCGGGGGCGGGTGTCAGCCAGCCAGGACCCCCGTCAGGAGCCTCACCTCGCTGGTCACCATATCGGAAGCGCTCCAGAGCGATGTTGACGGCGATCTTCACCTCCTCGTCGATACGAATGTCTTTGAGCCCCTTGGCTCGGCCACCGCCTCCCGGACCACACGAAGCCGGGCCGCCGCCGCCTCCGGTGCCGCCTCCGCCAGGAGCCGGAGGACGCGGCGAGACGCTGCTCGGCCTGGACATGGCCCTGAGGAGAAGCTCGCTCCGCGTGGGAGCGGCCAGGCCTGCTGCCAGCGAGCAGTGACAGAGATGGAGAGCCTGTGGGACCACGGCCGACCTACCGCTCGGCAGGCAGCGCCACGGGCGACGAGCGGGAGAGCTCCACTCACAGCACCGGTGGAAGCGAAAGCGCCGGCACCACTAAATCCCAGAGAAGCCCTGGCGCGCGTGATGACGTCACCGAGGGCGCGACGCGCGTGACCCCGGGACGCCCGGCCGCTGGCCCGCGTTAGGGGTTGCGGTCCCCGGCGGGATGATGCGGTCCTCGCGCCCCTGAGGCTTTGGTTCCCAGACAGTATAATGTAATTGGAGGACATGTTACTCAGTTACCCACTCGTTCATTTAATGATTCACTCCTTTCTTCGGAGCGGGCTTCTTGCCCACCGCTAGACTCACAAACTCGAATGCATTGGAAGCAAATGTTTTCCCGCCTTTCCGGGATTCATGGTCTAGTGGGAACAGAGTAAGTACAATGAGTACACCAACTGGTTTAATTCTGAATAACAAATAAGCTTCTTAGTATATATCTTTCATTCTGAGGCACATGAAAACCTGGTTGTCGGAAATAAAGATATAACTGTGGTTTACCTGGGCAACCCTAAATGGGAGTGACAGCACCAAAAGGGAAAATAAAAGGTAAATGATGACATAATAGTGAGTGCTCACAGTTTGAAGGAACAGCCCATCGTGGAGGCAGGATGCATAGCAATGAGATCAGCAATGTTTTTGTGGCAAGATTAAATACAGAGATAGGACCTTCTCAAGAGTTGCAAAGACTATGAGAACTCCCATTGGCTCAAAAAGCATCCTGCTAACGTGAATCTATTTCTAATTAACACCATTGCTTCCACACTGGTGTTAACCACTGGTTTACACATCCACAAGGATGCCTCTGTACCATGATTTAAAACATGATTCTGTCCCTTACATAGACATGCTTTCTAATCTTGTGTATCATTTGCCACATTTGAAAGTGTTTTACCTGCTCTTGCCAAAAATTCTAAGCACCTAACAACATGAAGGTTACCTCGTTTGTCCCATCACCACACACAAGCATTTTTCAAATCTAAGGTTAAAAGTGGCAGCTCTGCTCCCAGAAATTATACACTGTTGTCCTTGAGATAGCTGTTTCTTTGACTGCTAGAAACAGCTTTAGGTAACTAGAGGTGGGCCTATAGTAAACCTTTTCCAAAACAAGTAACTAGCTTTGATGGTAGACTAAGCTAATTTCCAGAAGCTATATTACAAACTTTGTTTAGAAAAATCAGAAAATATCCCACAGACACCAATTATCTACTTCACCAACAAAGAAATGACCATGAAAACCCTGTACATCTATACAGAATTTGAGCAGAGATCCCCTTCAGAGTCATTCCTAGTTTAGGTTCTCTCCAGTGAGTCTGAATTTTCACTGGTTGGATCCTTTGATGGATGGAATCTTGCCCTAAGAACACCTTTCTTATATCCCAGTGTAACGTGGACGGTTTCTCTTTAAAGGTGTAGTCTCTCTAACAATTACACTTGTTTTCTACATGCCTGCCTTATTTGCAGCTTAAAACTGGTTTAAACTCCTTTCCTCACCAAACTTTACATCTCTCATATCTTTTTGTTTGGTCTCACTCTCTCACACATGCTGTAGATCTAGATAAGAGCAGTAAACAATAGCCACAGCCTGAATGCTACCCTGTCATTAAATTTCCTCCTCCAAACAAATTAGTCCATTTCTTTTTTATTCAGTCTCACACAATTTCTTGTGACGTGGGCAGTATGAAACCAGATTCCTTGTCAGATTATAATGCAAATGGTTTGTAGCCCAGTTCTTAACCAAATTCTTACTCTCTTTCGAAACTTCATGCACCAGGCCTCTACAGTTCACTTTTCTCTTAGCATTCGCATTTCTAGATCCCTACCAGCCTGACCCATTAAGCTCTGTTTACAGCATTCTATGATTTCTCTAGTCTGAAACTCCAAACTTTTCCTCATTCCTCCTTTCAAAGGCCTAAGAACAGAATGGTCATGGTTACTTTAACAGGAGGCTACCTGGTAGCCAACCACTGTATTGCTTTTCTCATTGCTGTGATAAAATTAACAACAAAAGCAACTTAAGAAAGTAAGAGTATATTTCAGCTCAAAGTTTGAGGGAACAGATCATGCCATAGGGCGGCATATTGATAGGAACTGGTGGGGGCCATGTGACTTCTTCGGGGGACAGAATGAATGGCTCTCCTTATGGCAAGACCCTGGAGATCCTGACCCACTTGGCAAAGACCTGTGGACAGTTTGATGCATAATTCTGGGCATGATCCCAGGAGCGTGTATGCTACATGCTCTCTTTGCTTTCACTATGCTAGCCATAATGTAGGCCTGAATAAGTCATAGTAGGTCATGAAGTTTAAGTCTACATATTTGTATAACTGTTCTGGAAAAAATGACTTTAACAAGAATCTTTGAGAAATTTTAATGAACAGGTGGTATCAGGAGATAATGGGAACAGTCTAGGAACAGGGAATGAAGCAGAATCATAGAAACCCACAGTTCCCTCATTTCTAATAACTGTGCCAATGCCCTAAGAAGTTAAGAGAGACAGACACAAGGACAAGGGATTAAACAGTACCACCTATTAACTTTCCAAGTTATGTTGCCTATAGGATAAATGGGAAAACCTGGTATATCTCCAGAGGAGATGGAGTAATACAGAAGGTAGAATGGATTGATCCAGCTTTGGCTGGTGAGCTGATTGTGACAACCCAGACCCTACCAGATGTAAATATTAACCATTAGAGACTAAACTGTTTCTCCCCCTGCATGAGGCTGTAAGTGCAAACGATGCCAACTGGACATACTGCTCTACCTGTAGGTGTACCTAGCTAGAAAAGTTCCTTTGTAGCTTGCAAGATTTGCAAGACTACTTATGCAGTAGAGATATAGATCAAAAAGGTAATGGTTACTAGTGAGAGACTTAAGAAAAGGAAGGGGAAAGAATGCAGGAACAAACTGCCAATTGTTGTAACCATTTTTAGAAACTTAGGAAGTAAACACTGATTGTATAATTGTTCATGCAAACCATTGAAAGTGTATAAAGACAGCCCAGGCTATCCAGGGCCACTTTTTTTGAATAACAGGTGGTCACAGTCTCTTCTTGGCACCTTCTTTCCAACTTCACCCATCCGTCCCAGGTCATCTAACTGTATGGAGCAAGGCTTCCAGCACAGAACAGCTCTGATTTTGTGACCCCAGTGGGAAGCAGCTGGTCACATGTGCATCCACAGTCAGGAAGGAGAGAGATGAGTGCTGCCACTAGACTCACATTCTCCTTCTGTATTAGTGTAGGGCTGAAACCCAGACTGAAAGTGCCTTCACACATATGCCCAGAAGTTTGTCTCCCAGGTGACTGTAAATACTGTCACGATTAACCATCACACCACAGGAAAGGCCTCTTGCATGTCTACCCAGAATGTTACAGTGAGTGTGTGTTAAGTTCCTCCCTTTCTTAAATAGGAATTTTTAATACAGTTATTCTAGCTCTGCTTATCATTTTATGTACAGCATATGGGTGGAGACATTGAGTGTACATATTTACACATTACATAACTTGCCTGACCATGTGGTGAGACATTTGGACCTGATTAGAGGACTGTGACTCAACAACAGATCCTGGTTGTGGTGAATAAATAGAACTGTGTATTTCTTGGTCACGGAATATATGTGCTCTGTGCAGGGCAAGAAGTAAAATTACAAGAATTTTGTTTAAAGGTTTTGATTTTCTTCATGATTCTAGAATCAGGCAAAGACTTGGTTCATAAACTAGAGGATGCCAGCTTTGTGAAAACTAAAGGGCTGAAGAAAGCAGAAACAAAGGACAGATTGGTCATTTTTAAATTACTTGCCTTGAGGCAGAAAAAGAGGGATGTAGCAATAGAAACCTGGTTCACATGACATTACTTCAGCTTATTTTTGTTGTTATTTATTCTGTTGACACAGGGTCTTATGTAGAGCAGACTAATCTTGAACTCACAATCCTCCATCTTAACCTCATGATTGCTAGGATTGTAAACATGCCTGCTTCCTCTGTTTCCTTTGGTTTGTTTATTGACTGGTTGATTTAGGGGAAAGGTTAAAGAGACTGAAAGCAGTCTACCTGTGAAAATTGCTGATTAGTCTCTCACTCCCCACCTCTGCTTTTCCTTCTCCTTCCTGCTCCCCCACCTCTGCTTCCCTTCTCTCTCTGACTGTCTCCCCCACTCAGGATTTCTCAGAAAGCCAGAGAACAACTTAGTTTGAGTTAGGTGGCATATGACTTTATTTGGGCTTTCTTTCTAGTTTGTTGGATTCTGGTGCAAGAATTTAGTACAAAACAATATTTTTGTTTTGGGTTTGGTTTGGGTTGGGTTTTAATTTTCATTTGGCATTGTTAATCATGTCAACAAATTGCAATGCTCACAAACAAATGTGCTCATTGTCCTTTGGTCATTTTATTAATCCCATCTCCCTTTCAGTGAGAGACTAGCTATAAGCCACATGGCTAAGTGCTATCCATTGGAATGTTGCTGGAAGCAACATACACTGATTCTGGGATTTCTTTCATCATTCCTCCATTTTCTGCTTTTACTGGTCAGCTAAAAGTTCTTAGAGAGTGATAGAGACTCTATATAAAAAGATGCTGCTTTCTATGATGATTTTGATAGAGTCCCCTTACCAAACTGGTTTGATCTGAGTGAGAAATAATACTTAACTGTGGGAGCCACTGAGGTTGTTGGGAGTGTTTTTATGACACTGTATAGTTATTGCATGAATTGCTCCTGATGAATCACACTTCCTTGTACTCATATTTTTATATACTTATACTGACTCTGTCCTTCAGCTATGAACATACCTTTCACCATCTGACATCAATGAACAGAG